AACCTTGCTTATGGATTTTGGTCAGACCATAGGCATTTGCAATCATTTTCCACTTTTCCAGTTCTTCACTGTTTACAATTTGTTGCAGAAGACCCTTAAGTTTGACCTTAAGGCCTTCTGTCGGGTCCTTTATTATAGCCTTATATGTTGTGTCATCATCTAATGCCTCTAACATTTTCTCTACATAATCAGTCTTATCCATAACTACTACGGCTCCTTTGTCTGCCTCTAATACTAGTTGCTCGTTCTCCTTAAGATTTCTTATAATAGTCCTAACTGTCCTATTCAAATATGGTGTTCCTACATGATCCTCAATTAAAGAGATAACTTGTAGTTCAATGTCACCTCTAGTATCCTCTGGGAAACTAGCCGTTAAACTTTCCCATTTTACCAAAATTTCCTATTTGAAGTCCTTACCATTTGGAAGGGCAAAGTTTAAGCCATTTGCTAGGACCTCCTTAGTAGAAAGTTCCAATGAAGTTTTGGACATATTTACCACTCTTTGGCAACGGCTATTCTTACACTTCAATTTATTAGATGTGGGCCGTTTCCTTGAGTTAATTATTATACCCAAATTTCTTAATTTCTTATCATATGTCTTGCTAATCTGTCGGGAAATCGTATCATGTAAACTATCCACTATACTCTGGAGTTTCAGGAAGTCTTCATAACCAAGAGTATCGGATAAAATTTGCCTAAATCTAGTCTTAGTTCTGATTAAGGAATGTAACTTTGCAATGTTTTCTCTAAGTCTAATATCAGCCAAATCATGGCAACATCTAAAATATCGGTCTTATTCTTAAAAGGTAAATTAGATCTAGAAATAATACAAAATCTAGGTATACTACTACGGGTAAAGTAAACTTCCCAAAAGCGAATGTGATTGACTTGCCTGACCAACGATTTCCTGGTTTTTGTACATAATGACGAATTCCGAAAAGAACGATGCTGGCGAAACGTCAGTGGTCTGATGCTGGATATCATCATGAATATTTTGACAGAGGACGCGGGACTAAGTACATACCACGAGGTCTCTCTTTAGCCCCTACCAAGTTGCCAAAATGTGGTCAAACAAATACTTTACAGCTATAGGAGACAGCGACCAAACAAAATACTATATTGTCTTGCTCTTCATGGCCACTGAAGTTCTAGCGTAGTGTTGTAAGCTTCTTATAATGTATCTCTCTTTTCACCAGTTGGACCAGTAAGAAAAAAATTAATTGTTCCAAGAATACATAACTTCTTGAAAAATTTTTTTAAATCATTTAGAATCCTTGGCTCAGAGATTAAAGCTTATTTTTCTCCTAATTAGCATTTTGTCCTGAGGAGATCAGGCTACATAATTGTTGCACTTTTCATATATGTTCTAATGTCTGAAGAGCTAGATATCTTTGATTAAGTTTTGAATACTTTCGTGCATTCAAAATTATCAAATACAAAGCTATCTTTTAGGAGTAAGTGTTGCATTTAACGGTAAAGAAAAACAAGCAAAAACAGTAGTATGGTACGATAATTAGGGTAGTAAACTAACAATTATAACTTTAAATGTGAAATATGCTAGACTTATTTATAGCAAAGATAGAAACTTTGGAGAATACCAGCTAACACATGTATATAAGGTGATCTAATAAAATCCTACTCACGATGAATGGGTTGCCAGGTTGAGCATCAAAAAGTTATAAATAAAGGTCGTCTTATGAATGCTAACCTGGGCCTGCTTTTTGGCGGATTCCAGCTCACGTGTGAGGCGCTGCAATGTGTCCTGGGTACCATTCAACCGCTTCTGCTCCGCCGTGAGACCATTGAGAGCCTGGGTAAGTTTGCCCTGCAAATTGTGGCTACGAGACTCCTCGAGAGCAATTGCTTTACGGGCTGACTCTGCTTGTTCGCGAGCAGACAACGCTGACTAATAAAAAAGTAGAGATGGAGGTCGGATAATTAGAATCATAGCAAAATGGAGAGTTTACATAGGAATTGGAATGATAAATAGGCCAATTAAAGTCTGAATGGTAGTAGTGGTCAGGCTTAGGTTTTTAGTTCAACCTAAATACGTAAAAGTATATTGGAGCAGATAAGTAAGCAAGTGAATGAGTATAAAGATTGAATAAAGATATAAGAAGTGGGTATAGTAACGAAAATAACGTAGTAAAGAAGTTGAAGAAAATTGAATAGAGAATGAGAAATGGATTAAGGAAGTATAGGCCAATTATTATGGATGTGAGCAAAAGGGTATAAAAAAATTTATGGATCAAAAAAAGATATAATAAGATGTTAAATAGCATAAAAATAATAAAGATTTGAAATTTGAAGCTGCTACCGGAGAGTAAAAGGCCTACATACAGTGCCTGTTATACTCATAACAAAGTTACAGGCCAGTGATGCGTAAGGATGAATAGGTATGGGTGGCTAGGAATAATAATGGCTTGGTGTATCAAAAGCTTATGGTTATAGAATATGTTTGCACTAAAACATTTTTTTGAATGATGGATTAGATAGAATAAAAGACTTCAGGTGAATATGAAGTAAAGTAAAATGAAAAATCAAGCCGCAAAGTTCATAAATAGCCTGAGGAAAATGGGGAGTATAAAAATGAGTAAGGCTACATAAATAACCATAATACTGAATACCAGACTTGGAGGAGTATGTTGTTTCTGCAGTTTGAAATGCAAATACTAAAAGATAATTGAAGAACCTGTTATCTTACACCAGATATACCTAAGCGATTTTTCGAAAAACGTAAAGTGCAGCTATTTTTAATCTATCTGAAGCATCGTATGAACAAGAGTGAGAGAATCCAAGTCGGAATTGGAAGGATGAGAACAAGTTTACTTAGAACTAATCTAGGCAGTTATAAGAGGGCAAAAAGTATGAGGTTGGAAGACGACATATTCCTGTAAATTAATTATATTGAGTTTATAATAAACCAACAAATGGCGCTCCATAAGGTGGGGAGATAGGTCATTTAGTGCTAGCAAACCAACAGCCAAATGTGTCCAAACAATTCTTTTAAAATTCGATAAAAGACCTTCTTATTATATAAGACATTTGATGAATCTTCTGCAAATTTTGTTACATTATGTTATAGGGGCAGCAGAGTTCATTCACCAAAGTCGTGGCTATGCATGTGGATGTTGGTAGTCATATAGAGACATGCGGCGTTTAGTCTCAAAGGCTCTTCCTGCGAATTTAACAATAAATGGAAGAGATTGGTGGAGTGTTGTTATAAGGAGAGGTAATTAGTCTAACCAAGGTCAATTTATCATGTTCTATTTCGTGATACAATTTAATTAGACCATGTATCCTAAAAACTGCCTCCAGCCTAATGATTTAATTGTTTAGCCTTGTATTATCAGGGTGACCTAAAGCAATGCATCTTGTCCAGAGTCCATAGGATACATGACAATTTCCAAAGTCGGACCCAGGACACGGACATTCCGCTGGCATGGTAATCGACATCGTAAGCGAACTTTGTCATTCGTAACACCACGCCAAAACTCGTCAAAAAGACTAGCTTAGATTATCATTTGGCCAATTATTTGCTGAACAGTTGTGGCATCTCTCCTTGTCCTATTGTATTCGCCTATCCTGTATCCTCGTATCACCGTTTCATTATCAAAAGTTCTTACTTGATCATTCAAATCTAAC